AAGCGAGTGTCCTTCTCACTCTTTCACTGACCAGCTCTTTCTTGCTTCCCTTGTTCCTTCTTTCCGTGTTTCTGTCCTTCTCTCGTCCTGTGTCTGCGAAGCACCTGAACAGCTGGCTCCTTGACTCTCTCCCTCTCCCTGTCCCTCTCCCTGTCCCTCTCCCTCTCCCTCTCTCTGTCTCTCTCTCTCTCTCTCTCTCTCTCTCTCTCTCTCTCTCTTTGTCTCCCTCCCTCTGTCTCCCTCCCTCCTTCTCTCTCTTTATCTGTCTCTCCCTCCCTCTCTCTCTCTCTCTCTCTCTCTCTCTCTCTCTCTTTCTCTTTTTCGCCTGCTCTCTCTCCTCCTCTCTCTCTCTCTCGCTCTCTCTCTTTCTGTCTTTATGTCTCTCTCTCTCTCCTCTCTCTCTCTCTCTCTCTCTCTCTCTCTGTCTCTCTTGGTCCTTCTCCTTCTCCGTAGATAGAGTAGCTTGTTTTGCATAGGTATGAGAATATATATATATATGTAGCAAGTATATAGTGTATACTTCTGTAGAACAACAAGTTTGTGTGCACATTGCCTATATATATATATATATAATGTTCTCAGGAACTGAAGCACAAGCTGCTCCCTGTGGCCAAGTATCACAGGGACAAACGTGGTGTGAAGCGCTCGACTGGTGACAAGCAGCGATTGCGTGGCAGCCAGCCCAAGCCTGAGACAAAGGCTGTGAAGGAGCCATGTTTGCTTGGAGACAAATTAGCTGAACCATGTGCCTGAGGCAGTACACCTGCGCATTTGGGTACAAGCTCGCAGAGCTTCTGCCAAAGATGCATGAGGGCATCAAGGGCCTGCGGCTGGGATATGTACTCTGGTTGCACTTGCCATGGGTCTGTTTTGTTGCCCCTCTCTCTCTCTACATATATATCAATAAATGCATAACGATATATATATATATATATATATATATATTTATACATATATATATAATATACATATATATATATAGCATATATATATATATATATGTATTCTTATGCACACATCGGTATACAAGGGACATATGTAAGTGTTGGATTATGCACCATGGCATTGACTGATAACAGAGCAAATTATGTAGAAATATATTTCTGAGATACACATCAATGTGGGTACTGCGAGTATGTGTGACTACCATCTATATCTACAGTATATGAGTATGTGTATGTATATATATATATTTAAAATATATGTTTAAACACACATATATATTTATATATATATATATATAATGTTTTAGTTATATCTCTACACATGTCTTGCTGTAGGATGATGCTGGCATGGAGCCTGGCCATCTTCTTCGGCTACTCCGAGTACATGAGGACCAATGGGAGGATGGCGACATTCCCCAGGTTGTAAAATATCTGAGAGCAAGCAACCGGTTGGCTATCCCAAGCCACATAAGGTCTGCAATTGGTCTGGACTAGACTGGTGTAATTCGTAATGTCTTGGCTTTTTGGCCGTGGAGCGCAGAGGCACAGGCCGCTGCTCTATATATACAGTGCTGCTTGGAATCGACTATCGAGCGAGTGGTGGAGACAACAAGCACTTGTGTCCTAAACCCTTATAAACCCTATATATATATATATCCTATATGCAAACCCTAAGCCCTAAACCCTTCACCCTAAACCGTGACTCTGCCAAAAAAATACATGTATATATATATATATATATATATATATATATAGAGATAGGTATATATATATATATACATATGTATATATATATATATATATGAATGCATAACATACAAAAACTATTCATAAATGTATATAAAAATGCATATGTACAATTACATGAAATGATGCAGATGTATACACATATATGTCTTCATCCTGTACCAGAAGCATAATCAATGTAGATGTACACAAATATATGCCTTCAGCCTGTCCCTATCTATGAATGTCTTTCTTGCTTGTCAGTTGTCGACAGCAAAAGAATATGTCCTCTGTGAGTCCATTCTTTGTATATATGTACACATATAACTACATATATTTTTGACCAACATATAAACGACAGAGGTGCTTCTTTTCGATCCTGTCGTGTTTTGGTGGTTTTTCTTCTTAAGTAACGTGTTCGCTTCTTTTCTTGTTTTTTTAGTATCGAAACGAAAAAAAGCAAAAAAAACAAAAAGCGCGGATTTGCACGGAAAACCGCAAAAACGGCACGGAAAACCACTTTTTCCCGCAATATTTGCACGGGTTTTGAAGACCCTTGAAACCTTCAGAAAAAACACAAAATTTCAGTGTAATTTGACCAAAAACTAAAAAAAACATGTTTTCCAAGAAAAACAGACCCGCAAGACCGTAAGTCACGCGGAAAACCGCAATTTTAAGAGTGGTTTTTGGGTTTACTTGTTAAGCAGGTACAGACAAATGAAAAGTGTCAACATTTCCAAAGTGGTTTTCCTTAAGTTTCTCTTTACAAAGAAAAAAACCAGAAAAGAAAAACCAGAAAATATAAACCGGTTTCCGCAAATCTTTCCGCCGTTCTTTCTTTCTTTAAAAAACTGCATACAGAAACCGGATTTATAAATCAGGTTTCCGCAGTGGGTGGGAAATTACCTGGAGGCATCAAGCGTCAAGATTTCCAAAACGGTCTTCGTGATGATTTTTTACATAAGATGATCTAAGTGCCGCGACATGAAGCGTCAAGATTTTCATCCATGGTTTTTCCGTCAACTCCTTGTATACATACATATGCATTGCGGAAACCACACTATACAAGCATGAATGTTTCCAAACAACGAACCCACTCTCCATCTCTCTTGCTCTCCCTCTCTCTCTGTGGCTTCTCTTTTTTTTTTTCTCTCTCTCTCTCTCTCTCTCTTTCCGTGTGTGTGTCTCTCTGTGTCTCTCTCTTTCTCTCTCTCTCTCTCTCTCTCTCTCTCTCGCTCTCTCTCTCTCTCTCTTTCTTTCTCGCTCCCTCTCTCTCTCTCTCTCTCTCTCTTTCTCTTTATCTTTCTCGTTCTCTTTATCTATCTCTTTGTCTTTCTCTTTATCTTTCTTTCCTTTTTTTTAAATCAATTTTTCTTGCTCTTTATCTTTCTCTTTTTGTCGCTGTCCAGATATTTCTGTACTGCTCTATCTTCCTGTTTTTTTCTATCTGGATATATATATATATGTTTGCTTGTTTATTTTAGGTATCGATAGCTGGCAATGTACTTATACATATACACACACACACATATATATATATATATATACATATTTGTCGTCCTGCTGAGATGGTAAAGCTTCTAAGAAATCAAGATGTGTTATGATATCTGTGTAGATATATATAGATATACACACTGTATATCTATAATATATATATATATATAAACGAGGATCCGGGACATGAGTGCAACCACGATCGATACATATATATACATACATGTGTTGGAATCTAACGCACGCAACGCACGCAGACGCAGGTGCTGGCGCTGATGCCGCCGATGCTGACCTGCGGTACAAGAAGCAGAAAGCAAGGGCAGGTGCCTTTCCTCCCCTGAGTGCACACTGTGTGGCCTGCTGTCTTCTGCTGAGAGGTCCTGCATTGAAGAATGCACTGTGCCATGTCAACATGTGCACACACCCATATATATATATATATGTATATGTAGATCTATGTATATGTTGCTTGTACAATATGTCGTCGCACACACCCACATGTGATATATATATATATATGTAAATAAATACACACCTGCAAACATGTGCATGTGCGATCATGTCTGTGTGCAGATGCTTTTGTCCTGTGGCCTTTGAGACAGCTCAAAGTTTCTATTTTGGTGTCACCTTGCAGGCAGTGTTTGCAAAGTCCTGCCATGGACCTCAGGGCTGAGTCCCGGAAGTGGAGTTGTTCCACACTTGTGGCTGGCCAGAGTTTGCTTGGTGGACAGGTGCAGCCTAGCACCCCTGTGCACATGACGAAGGCATGGATACACCATATATGTATATATATATATATACATATATGTATAGTATATACATACACATATATATGTGCATACACATATACATATATACATGCATATAAAACAATATACACACACTATCATATTTTCTTTGATATGTATATGTATATGTATATATGTAGTTTACATATGTTTAGCCTCTATCACCACACCCAGACGTGTACACATGTAAAATGTGTATGCTACAAGAATATACGTGACATATATATATATACATACATGTATATGCATATAGAAATACTTGATATTACATTCCCTCGCTCTTGTTCTGCGTAGTGGTGTTTATGTCGCTGCGTGGGCAGGTGAAGGAGGAAAACACGTGGGTCTCTGTGGAGATCATGGCCACTTTCAGTCCAAGGACCCGAGTTATGCTTGCGCAGTTGCCTGACACACCGCAGTCACGGACCATTGTGCAGCAGATGGTTGAAGTGAACAGTTACTTGTATGCATGGTTGCTGAAACTGTAGATTTTGTAATGGAGCTGAATATCTATTATGTAATGTAGAAATACTGGCTTATGCCGCTGCAGTGTTTCTGGTCTATAAGTGCTATCCTAATTGGTCTCAGTGTAGAGTACTTCCGTGCATGTGTGAAAACATGTGTGCAAATGAGTAGGTTTATGCATATGTATATATATATATATATCGATATATTATATATATACATACACACATTCACATATATATATATATATATATATATATATATGTATATCTATTCATGTTATTCAATAGAATTATATATGTTGTTGTGTATCTATGTCTATATTTATATATACATAGGTGATAGCACATATACATACCTACCTACCTACCTACCTACCTACATACATACATACATACATACACACACACACACAAGACCATACATATGTATATATATATATATATGTATATGTATACATAAATCACTATATATCTATATATATATATACATGTGTCAAAAGCCATACTTATTTTATGTATCTTGTGATGTTTTGGCTCACATTTGAGGTCGTGCAAAGGGTGCTAACCCATTGCGGGAACCGAAGATGGAGCAGCAGAGTGGCCAGAAGCAAAGAACGCAGGGTGTGGATATGCTACCTCCACCACCCCCTCCTGTGCCACGGCAGCATCTTGCAAAGGTGGGACTGATGCAAGCCAGGGAGTTGTTTCGTGCAAAGAAGGCCAGTCTTAGTCTGCCCGAGGCCTCGTTGTCACCTGCAGAGAGAGAGAGTGGCCAACCTGGTTCAAGTCCAAGCGACAGAGGTGTGGCCAGTTCGGCTAGGCCTGTGGGAATGGGCCTCTGGATGTCTCCGGCGCACAGGAGCCCGCCGTACAAGAAACGAAGGGAGGATGTGGACCAGGTGAGTCAGGTGCGTGCTGTGCCCCAGAAGCCAATGCCGAGGCCCTGCTTGCAGCCTGTGGCAAAGACAGGGTGGGTGGACCGAGCTGCTGAGAAGGACCCTGCGCAAGATGAGCCTGCAGGTGCTTCGCAGGCAGCTGCAGAGCCGCCGGCTGTGCCGAAGGCTGCAGGGCCACAGGTGGCTGTTCCGAAAGCTGCAGAGCCACGACCGGCTGCAGCAGTGCCAAGTGTGAATGCAGAGCCGCTGCACACACCGGCAAAGCCTGCTGTCCCACCACTGCCAGGGAGCACGAAGCAAGTGCCGCGGCCCGCTATCCATCTGAGTGAGGTGCTCTTGGAGGAGGCTATCAAGAAGCGGCAGGCTTTGGAAGACGAAAATGAGATCCTGCTGAAGCGTTTGACAGCTGCCGAGAAGGAGTTGCGTCAGCAGAAGCAAGCTGCGGGTGTTCCCGGCAGCTCAGTGGCTGGCCAAATGCCGCAAGCCACCCATGTGCCATTTCCGCCCTCGCCTTCGCCGACAAGTCCCGGTGCGGTGCCCATCCACACGCCACCCCGCCAGGCTCTGAACCTGCCTCCGTGTGGCAGTTCGCCCCTTCTTTCCTCGCTGCCTTTTGGTCTACCAGGGCCTGGTCTTCCTATGCCGCCCATGCCTTGGCCACCAGGTTCGGGCCAGCTTCTGTCGAGGCCGGGCTACCCGATGATGAGCAGCCAGTCAGGCGCGCCTGTGCTGGTGAGCATGGCGACCCAGCAAGTGGTGGGCACACAGCCGGTGGTGGCCAAGCCAGTGGTGAGCACACCGCCCGTGGGCATGGCGAGCCAGCCAGTGGTGGGCACACAGCCTGTGGTGAGCCAGCCAGTGGTGAGCACACAGCCGGTGCCGGGCACGCAGCCAGTGGTGAGCTCACAGCCTGGGCCGAGCACGCAGCCAGTGGTGAGCTCGCAGCCTGTGCCAAGCACGCAGCCAGTGGTGAGCTCGCAGCCTGTGCCGAGCACGCAGCCAGTGGTGAGCCAGCCAGTGGTGAGCCAGCAGCCAGTGGTGAGCCAGCAGCCAGTGGTGAGCCAGGTGAGCCAGCAGCCAGTGGTGAGCCAGCAGCCAGTGGTGAGCCAGCAGCCAGTCGTGAGCCAGCAGCCAGTGGTGAGCCAGCCAGTGGTGAGCCAGCCAGTGGTGAGCCAGCCAGTGGTGAGCAGCAAGCAGATGGGTGCCAGGCCGCCGGTGAGCCAGCAACCGCACGAGGACCCGGATGAGCTGGAAGGGGCACTTGAAAATGTGTATGATGGGATGGTGTTGCTGGCTGGTGTTCGCGAGAAGACTTGCCAGCAGATTTCCATCACCTCGCGCACCAGATCCTGCAACAATGCATGTCGGTGCGTACCCAGCCACCCCAAGTCGAAGCTGGGCACGCCACACGGCCGAGTGAGCTACAGGGTGGGCAAAGCGTGCCAGGACATGATGAGAAGGCGCATCCAGAGGCGCCAAGTGGGCAGCCTGAGCAGGCAGAGCAGCCATTGCCCCGAGTGCCAGCAGAGGAGGTGGAGCGCAGTTCGAGTGTGCCCAAAGGGCCACAGTGACTCGGCAGAGATGAATGGAAAAGTGTGTTGCGCTTCACACCTGCAGTGATAGTTTTTGCTCGGGCCAAGGAATGTGTCGCCTCCAAAAAAAATCAACAGCCAGTCGCACCCGGAAGCATATGGATACCTTTATCGCTACTGCAACAAGCTTGACAAGACTAACAGCCCAGTCAGAGCTGAGATCTGTGCCAAGTGGCAGCGAGGCCCCTATATGGACAAAACTACATATAAATATACCTTTCAGGATGTCAATTTAACTTGAGCTTCTTCTGCTTGTATCTGCGACTACTTGATGCGAAGGAGGCTGTGAGAAGAACAAGCTCCTGAAAGACTTCGTGGAGAAGTGCTACCACCCAGGGGAGGACGCGCCTGCCAACCAAGTACCTCGCCTCAAAAAATCTAACAAGCTGTATACATCCCTAAACAGATGTACTTGTGTGTTGGGCTGTTCCTCAGGCAGTTGAGTGATGAAACCTTTAAGTGATGTGCGTCCCTCTAAACGGCCAATGTTCTGGTTTCGTGCATGTTCGCCACGCCACTTCTTCTGAAGTTCAGATTGAATTGTCAGCATTGGGCTGTGTCAACTTAGGCCCGTTTGGAGTGCATGTTCAAGCTGCGGCAGATGAGCAAAGAATGGAAGCGAGGCCTCAAAGGCTTTGAGTGGCTGACTTTGTACGACATCCAGCACCTCACACCTCCTTGGCCTGAGTGCTTTGGATTGCCAGTATAATGTGAGCGATTTTATGTGTATGTGTATATGTATATATACACATATACATATTCTAACATATACAAATATGTATATATATACACACACATCTTTAAATTAATTAAATGAATCAATAAATACATAGATAAATAAATAAATATATATATATATATATGTGGCATGGACCTTTATGTATTATTTGACGTTCTCTCTTGTTTTGTATTTAAAAAACTATAAACAAACTAAATCCAAGAAACCTGAAGCACAAATTCACCAATTTCGTTCTCTTAGGGTTTAGGGTTTACGATTTATAATTTACTCTTTTTTTTGATGTGAACGTACAGACGCAGTCAGATGTTGGCAACGAATACTAGCTATCACTTCTGCTCTTGCGTGGGGGATGATCCAAGCGGTCTCTCGGGTCGAGCTGCGCACCGTTGTGCGCACATTGAAGTGTCCTTTGTTGCTTGGTGTGGATCGGCAAAGATCACTGCTACTGAAAGAGGCATCTTCTCATGAAGATGCCCTAACTCTTTCAAGACATCTACATTATCATTCAACGCGTACAGACGTCGGTTCGACAACCTGTAAAACTTCGTACTCTTCTTCACAAACTGAAGTGGACGCGAGTCCTGCAGTGCCCTGAACCGTCTCGTGCAGAAAACACCCCCGCAGAAAATCACTGCCTTTACCGCAAGCATTGGAATCATACAACCGCACAACCCGCTACAGTCCACCTCCGCCACGGACGCACCCATGACCGCAGAAGCCACTGCCCCGCCGATAAGGAGCCGACCAAAAAAAAGCAACGACGGCACCCATTGCAAAAGACCTGCGAAAACGTCTCGCGTAATCAGTGACCATCATACAACAATCGGTGAACAATCTTAAGACACTATTTTTGCGGGCAACCAATAGCAACTGGTCGACCAAGCCGATGCCTGAAGACGGCACGGCTGCGGCGCCTCGGAGCTTGTCTTCCTGACTCGGGAAACTGCTGCGGCCGACGCCAAGTCTCGCCAGCTGTCGTGCACAATTGTTGCTTGGTGTGCGTCGGCAAAGATCACTGCTACTGAAAGAGGCTTCTTCTCATGAAGATGCCCTAACTCTTTCAAGACATCTACATTATCATTCAACGCGTACAGATGTCGGTTCGACAATCTGTCGAACTTCGTACTCTTCTTCACAAACTGAAGTGGACGCGAGTCCTGCAGTGCCCTGAACCGTCTCGTGCAGAAAACACTCCCGCAGAAAATCACCTTGAGACACATGCCTTTACCGCAAGCATTGGAATCATGCAGCCGCACAACCCGCTACAGTCCACCTCCGCCACGGACACTCCCATGACCGCAGAAGCCACTGCCCCGCCGAGAAGGAGCCAACAAAAAAAAGCAACGACAGCACCCATTGCAAAAGACCCGCGAAAACTTCTCGGATAATCAGTGACCATCATACAACAATCGGTGAACAATCTTAAGACACTAACTTTGCGGACAACAAATAGCAACTCGTTGACCAAGCCGATGCCTGAAAACGGCACGGCTCCAGCGCCTCGAAGCTTGTCTTCCTCACTGTGTGTTTTTGAGATTTAAAGGAGAACAAGAGAAGAGAAGGGAGAGAGAAAGGAGAGAGGAGAGATCAACAGGAATGCAACTCTAAATGGAAGAGCAATGAAAAGAATGGAAGAGAAATGAGGACAGGCGAAATGCAAAATCAGGCAAAGAGAAGATGGTGCTCGTTTTCATCTTTCCTCTGGTTCTTATTTTTCTCTTCTCTTGTTCATTTCCGTTAGGAAAAACAAAAGGAATAACAATGAACATGTAAGCAAACCCAGCTGATGCTCATGATTTTTTCCTTTCGCCCTCTCTCTCTCTCCATATATGGGCGATGGAACGGGTGTCCTTGTTGGGCCGTTTCCTGCATCTTCAAGTGAGGAACCTAAGTGTTTTCTTTTGTTCGTTTGAAGACACAGAAAGCGATTAAAAGGGACGTCCATTTTGGATTGGCAGCCAACCCAGCTGATGCTCATGATTTTTTTTTTCTCTCTCTCTCTCTCTCTCTATATATGGGCGATGGAATGGGTGCCCTTTTTGATCGTTTTCTGCATCTTCAAGCGAGGAAAAGGGACACCCCACAAGAAAGCACTTAGGGTGTCCCTTTTGCTCGTTTGAAGACACAGAAAGCGATTAAAAGGGACGTCCATTTTGGATTGGCACCACAAGAAAACACTTAGGGTGTCCCTTTTGCTCGTTTGAAGACACAGCAAGCGATTAAAAGGGGCGCCCATTTTGGATTGGCAGCAAACCCAGCTGATGCTCTGGATCGTTTTCTGCATCTTCAAGCGAAGAAAAGGGACACCACAAGAAAACACTTAGTAAGGGTGCCCCTTTTGCTCGTTTCAAGACACAGAAAGCGATTAAAAGGGACGCCCATTTTGGATCGGCAGCAAACCCAGCTGATGCTCATGATTTATCTCTGTCTATATATGGGCGATGGAACGGGTGTCCTTCCTGATCGTTTTCTGCATCTTCAAGGGAGAAAGAAGGGCACCGCCCCGCCCAAGAAGGAAAAGTAACATCAGATATAGGGAGGGAAATTGAAGAGCTCCTCTCTTTACTTAGTCATTCCCTTTCCTCTCTTCTTATCTGTTGTTTTCTTCGCTTCAAAAAGCAAAATAAGGGAAAAGAGATTTCCTGAAGAGGAGGGAGGGCACCTATTGAAGAGCTCCTGTCTTTACTTAGTCATTCCCTTTCCTCTCTTATCCGTTGTTTTATTCGCTTCAAAAAGTAAAATAAGCGAAAAGAGATTTCCTGAAGAGGAGGGAGGGCACCTATCTGTAAAGAGCAATCGTTTAGAGGGGAACAGGAGAAGAGGAGCGAGAGAGAAGGACAGAGGAGAGATACAGGGAATCCAATTTCAATAGAACAGCAAAGAAAAGAATAGAAGAGAGATGAATAGAGAAGAGGGAGAGACAAAACAAGGCGCAGAGAAGACGGCACTCTTCTTTATCTATCCTCCCTCCCTTATCTCTCCCTTCCCTCTTTCTTTTCCAGATAAGAACAACTAACGAGGAATAATTGTGAAAAGGAGAAGAGTAAGGAAAGGAGCAGAAGAGATAGGCCGAGAAGATGGAGATGATGAAGTACGGCAAGGTCCACGCGCAACCTCTGCTTACCCTGCCACTGTTTTATCCTGCAAGTTCCTTTCTTGTTGTTCATCAGTCAAAAAGTAACAGAAAGAGTGAAGGGAAAGGGAAGTGAGAGAGGAGAGAGAACAAGGATGCCATTTTTCTGGAAGGGTACTGGAAAGAAGAGAAGAGACAGGAAGCAAGGAGACGGAGTGACAAAATAAAGCGTAAAGCTCTATATATATATATATATATCATCTCTCCCTTGTCTCTCCCTATTCCCTTTTGATGGGACGCCCCAGAACTAAAATGTTTAAATCCAGGTATTTGAATATTTAAATTCTTTAAATTGTTTAAATGGTTGGGTTTCCAGAGGAACCAATGGATTTGAATAATTAGATTATTTAGATTATTTTGGCGCCTCCTGTGAGCCAAGTCTGTGATGAAGTATGTCCCTTCTCCCCGCGGGCCAAATTTGTGATGAAGTATGTCCCCTCTCCCCGTTGGCCAAATTTGTGATGAAGCATGTCCCCTCTGTGATCCAGCATCCCACCAGCGTGATGAAGTAGGTTCCCTCTCTTTGTGGCTGAAGTATGTCCCCTCGCCCCGTGGGCCATGTTTGTGATCCAGCCCCCCAGCAGCGTGATGAAGTATATCCCCTCTCCCTGTGGGCCAAGTCTGTGATGAAGTATGTCCCTTCTCCCCATGATGAAGTATATTTGGAAGCTGAGAGTCGTGTTTTGGTGTGGTAGGTTGTGGTAGATAGAAAGGAAAGGGCATGAGAAAGTAGCGAGAGGAGCTCTTCAATTCCCTTCCTGCTTTATTGCAACACATGCCCCTCTTGTTCTTCCTTTCTTGTGTTTTTTGTCATTTAGAGGGGAACAGGAGAAGAGGAGCGAGAGAGAAGGAGAGGGGAGAGATAACAGGAATCCAATTTCAATGGAATAGCAAAGAAAAGAATAGAAGAGAGATGAATAGAGAAGAGGGAGAGACAAAACGAGGCGCTGAGAAGATGGCACTCTTCTTTATCTATCCTATCTCCCTTATCTCTCCCTTCCCTCTTTCTTTTCGAAATAAGAACAACTAAAGAGGAAGAATTTATGAAAAGGAGAAGAGTAAGGAAAAGAGCAGAAGAGATAGGCCGAGAAGAGGGACATGATGAAGTACGGCAAGGTCCAAGCGCAAGGAGTCACCCTCTGCTTTACCTTCCACTGCTTTATCATACCTGTCTTGTGCTTTATCAGTTAAACGGAAACAGAAGGAGAGAAGGGAAAGGGAAGTGAGAGAGGAGAGACAACAAGGAGGCCATTTTAATTTTCTGGAAGGGTACTGAACAGAAGAGAGGAGACAAGAAACAAGGAGACGGAGGAACACAACAAGGCGCAAAGAAGATGGCACTCTTCTTTGTCTATCATCTCTCCCTTCCTTGTCTCTCCCTTTTCCTCTATTCTTAAAAAGGACAAGACCTCTTCGCAGATAGGTGCCCTCTCTCCTCTTCAGGAAGCCCCCTTGCCCTTATTTTGCTTGCTTTCTGAAACGACAAGGAAAACAACACATAGAAAGAGAGGAAATGGAATGAACCAATAGGCAGTGGAGCTCTTCAATTTCTTTCCCTATCTCTTTTCTTCTTTTTTCATTCTTCATTCAACAAGGAAAAGAAGCTTCCTTTTGTGTGTTTTTGAGATTTAAAGGAGAACAAGAGAAGAGAAGGGAGAGAGAAAGGAGAGAGGAGAGATCAACAGGAATGCAACTCTAAATGGAAGAGCAATGAAAAGAATGGAAGAGAAATGAGGACAGGCGAAATGCAAAAATCAGGCAAAGAGAAGATGGTGCTCGTTTTCATCTTTCCTCTGGTTCTTATTTTTCTCTTCT